ATTTTAGTCCTTGTACACTTTAGGATATTATAAGATTAGTCTTTAAGCTTCAACTATAAATACCCTAACCCATTTAGCTTCAAAAGCTCCCAAAAATCATTTCTTCTCTCAATACTAGAGAGATTTCTGTGAGTAGTGAGTGTTTGTAAACACCTGTAAATTTTCTCTCTTTAGTAAAAGATATGCAGCAGTCCGGAGACGTAGGCATAATTGCTGAACTCCATTATCAATTTCGAGTATTACTTTTCCGTTTTTATTTTCGCATTCTCACTAATCTGGTTATAAGGAAATTACTCGTTTATTTCCCAACATGCCAACATGTTTTAATTGGAATCCATGGTGAAAAAGATGGATCGAATGATGAAGTCATCGTCGATTACCAGGGGAATCCGGTGGACAAGTTGAAGACCGGGGGATGGCTTGCCTCAGCTTCATCCTAGGTGCTTATGATGAACTTGAGAAGTTTAAGTGTGGTTTACTTCTTCTCATGTCCTCTTTGCTAACATGAATGGAAGATTTTGGTGCAGGGTGTGAGTTCTTGGAGAGGGTATGTGACATGTGGTGGGCATATCCATGAACTTAATCACATATCTTGTTGGAAATCTGCATATTTCAGCAGCAAAATCTGCAGTGATGGTTAGCAACTTCATGGGAACTCTCAATCTTCTTGGCCTCCTTAGGGGTTTCTTGGCTGATACCAAACTTAGTCGATACTTAACAGTTGCAATCTCTGCATCAATAACTGCTTTGGTGAGTTTGTAACTTATTGCATGCTTTGCAATTTAAGATGATTGAATTGTTTGTTTCTGAAGTTATCTCATCTTGCACCAGGGTGTGATTTTATAACACTGGCCACAACGATTCCGAGCATGAGGCCTCTACCCTACGACGATGATAGAAGATGGCATTACGAGTGCATCAAGGCGAATGGCCGGCAGTTGGCTTTGTTATATGCAAACTATACACAATAGCACTTGGTGGTGGAGGAATAAATCTAATGTCTCCAGTTTCGACTCCAATCAATTCGACATCAAGGATCCAAAGGAGGAGAAAGCTATGATTTTCTTCTTCAATAGGTGGTTCTATTTCGGCGTTAGCATCGGGTCATTATTTGTCGTGATTGTGCTGGTATATGTGCAAGACAATGTAGGAAGAGGGCGGGGATATGGAATTTCAGCAGGAACAATGTTGATGCCAGTAGCAGTTTTGCTTTGTGGAACACCCTGGTATAGGTTCAAAAAGCCGCTGGGAAGCCCTTTAACCATCGTATGGAGGGTTCTGTTTTTGGCAATGAAAAATAGGAATCAGTCTCTTCCTTCTCACCCAAGCTTTTTGAATGATTACGATAGCAGGAAGGTTCCCTACACAAAACGATTGAAGCAAGTATATTCTGAAATAGGTTTAATTAAAAAACTTAACCACTAAACTATACTTCCTTTATATTTAAGTGTTTAAAATCTTTTTAATACTAAAGTATGTATTTAATGTTTCGACATTATTTTAAATATTTGGTCTATCATGATTGTTAAAAATATCTATCAACCACTTAAGACAAGACCTGTGTTCATTTATAATATTTTTAAAATTATATTTTAAAAACACTTAAAATTATTAGTTTCTTAAAACCCTAAATTTCTCAAAAATCTCAACAACAACAAAAAACTCCAAACCTATAGAATTTTTAATTCCAAACCCATTGATTGTCTTTGTCACCGTCGAACAGAGGGGGAAAGGTCGTAATCGCCGTTACCTTCCTAAATTTGCCGCCAAAAGATATGAGAATTGACAACACTAAACATCAAGTAATTGTTTGCGATTTAGTTAGGGATTTAAGGATTAGGGTTAGAGTTTTGTTGGTCATTAGGTGGTCGACGACGGGTGGGTGGTCGTTCCGTGACAGTAACAGGGTGAAGATTGTAATAAGGTCTGAAATTAGAAAATTTAGGGATTTGAATTTCTTTTAAAATTTAGTGAATTTTATTTTTTTTAAATTAATAATTTTGAGTTTTTATATAAATAAATTTTAAAAATTTATAAACATATCACCTGTCATGTTGAGTGGTTGACAAATTCTTTTAATGGAAGTGGATGAAACACATCAAATGTAATGTTGAAAACGTTAATCCCCTATTTTGACAAAAACCTCTACATTTAAATAGAAAAAGATGTATAATAAGTACACTTAATTTTTAATTAAGCCATTTCAAATACTAAAAAGATAACAATGGCAACAGCAGCTGATAAAACTTCGTTTAACTGTGTATGTGTTAGGTGTAGGGATGGCAACTCAACTCGAATCCGACGGGTTCCGACCCGACCCGATCGGGTCGGATTTTTTTAAAAAAATTCGGGTTCGGTCGGGTCAGGTCGGTTTTTTTAAATGTACTGTTCGGGTCGGGTTTAGGGTGAAAACATCTGACCCGACCCGAAAAATATATATAATTTATCCTATATATTTAGGGATAATTACAATAATGTCCCTCCATATATAATTTTTTTCAATTAAGTCACTGTTTTCATTGAATAAAAAAAATTTATATTATTTCGGGTCGGGTCGGATCGGGTTTCTAAGTCATATATTCGGGTCGGGTCGGGTCGGGTGAAACCTTAATTTCGTCGGGTCGGTTCGGGTCACGGGTGAAAAACCCTTTCTTCTCGGGTCGGGTATGGTGGCCAAAAACGACCCGACCCGACCCATTGCCATCCCTAGTTAGTGTCTTGATAAAGCTGCGGTGTTAGATGACGATTGTGTTTCCGCACAACTAACAAAGATAACCAATGGATGGTTTCGACTGTGACACAAGTCGAGGAGGTGAAAATGATCGTTAAAACTTTCCCATTTGGTCCACATGTATCCTCTGGACAATCTACTCCCAAATGACTACTTTCACAGTTCACCAAGCCACCACCATGCACCGGACAGTCGTCTCTTCGTCATACCCGCAGGTTCATTCTCTGCCTTCCTCATCACCACCATTCTCCTCTTCACTTCCCTAAACGAGAAACTGTTGGTCCCCTTGGGTCGTAAGTCTCGAAACTTACCAACAATGTCCAAAGAATCACAAGCCTCCAAAGGGGGAAATTGTTGTACAGAAAGAAGTCAAAATAAGTGCCTTTTGGCTATTCGTTCAATTCTTCCTGTGGGTACTGGTGAAGCTTTTGCTTATGTCGGACAGCTTGAGTTCTTTATCAGAGAGGCGCCGGATCGGATGAAATCGATGAGCACGGGGCTTTTTCTGAGCACTATTTCAATGGGGTTCTTTGTGAGCAGTTTATTAGTGTGTATTGTCGACCATTTGACCGAAAAAGTAACCTGAACGAAGGGAAGTTAAATAACTTTACTGGTTACTTGCAGTGTTGGGATTTGTAAATTTATTGGGTTTTCTGATTTTTGCGTCGAAACATCAGTACAGAACGCAGCTGGCTATTAAGCCTGAGTCTGGGGAGAAAGAGATGGAGAGCTTCAACCGTGAAATGATAGATGAAGAAGGCAAGCACCATATCAATGGACATTGTGGAGCCATAGAATTTAGTAGATGAACAAAACAGAACCGCACAAAAAATTGTGTGACGAGATACATTTACCCTTTTAAAAAATTAATCAAAGTTTTAAAATATTTTTCTTATGGGACATTTGGGTAAATATGCATTATCTATTTATTTTCGTTTTCTCTTGTTTTACTTCCTTTTTGTCATTTCTTGCGCTTTCTCTCATCTCTTCAATTATTTCATCAAGTTCAGAGTATATTCATCATTCTCAATCTCTTCGTTTCAGTAACCTTTCAGCTTAATTTTGGTTATGAAGAGAATCGTAATGATGCAAAGGCATTACATTCTGAATATTCTTTTTCTTTTTTCCTTAAATGCAATTCTTAACTTTTCAGTGCTTGAATCCGTAATTTTTTTGTAAACCAAATTTGTACACTATGAGGTCTTTGGAGTTGGAATCTTTGCTCACTTTGGATTAGAGCTACTTAGGTCCTTCTTGTAGATATGATCAAGCAGATATTCGGAAAGCTACCTCGAAAACAGTGGAAATCATCCCAACATGAACCAATGGTAAGGAATCCATGGTTCCCTTTCGAACTCTTCTATATGATCATTTAAACGACTCTGAAACTGGTTTCTCTTTGAAATATCGAATTCAGGTTCACGTTTGAATAGTGTAACTGTTAATTCAGATTCATCCAGTTCGAATGATTCGGATCCCTCTTGCAAGACAAGCGTGTCCTATGTTAGCTTCAGGGATTTATGGGGCTTTGCCTGGTTTCCGGGACGTTCCCAGCACCGAAAAGCAGAGTCTTTTCTTAGGAAGTTGAATATGTGCTGTGTGGTTTTCGATTTTAGTGATCCTATAAGAACCTTAGGGAAAAGGATATAAAGAAGCAGACATTGTGGAGCTCATGGATTATATTTCCTCAGCCACATCCAAGTTCAACGACTTGGTGGTGCAAGAGATGACTCGAATGGGTGGCTACTAATCTCTTTAGGACATTTCCGTCTCCGAATCACGATACAACTCTAGGGATGTTGATTTCGAGGATGAGGAACCAGCCATGGACCCTGCTTGGCCTCATCTTCAGATGTGTATGAACTTTACTTAGATTTGTGGCACCAGAGACTGATGCCAAGCTTGCTAAAAGATATGGACCTTCATTTGTGTTGAAACTGTTGGATTTGTTTGATTCGGATGACCAAGAGAGAGGGATTATCTGAAAACGGTTCTACATCAGATTTACGGGAAGTTCATGGTGCATCGGCCATTTATTCGAAAAGCCATCAACAATATCTTCTATAGGTTTATTTTTGAGACTGAGAAACACAATGGTATAGCTGAGTTGCTTGAGATCTTAGGGAGTAATAAATGGGTTTGCTTTGCCTTTGAGGAAGAGCACAAGCTCTTCTTGGTACGAGCCCTGATTCCACTTCACAAGCCCAAGTGTGTATCCGTATACCATCCGCAGCTCTCTTATTGCATTACTCAGTTTGTTGAGAAGACTTCAAGCTAGATACTTGTCATCCGAGGTCTTCTAAAGTACTGGCCTGTAATTAATAGTTCAAAGGAGGTGATGTTCGTTGGAGAGTTGGAAGAATTCTAGAAGTTACTCAGGCAGCAGAATTCCAACGCTGTATGGTTCCGCTTTTTCCGTCAGATTGGTCGCGCCTCAACAGCTCTCCATTTTCAGGTACTGTTAGATTTTTCTCCTTGTTATTACTTCTGTCAACATTTTAATAAGCTTCAATGTCACCTTCTATACAATAAAATTTGCTGAACTTAAAACTCTGGAGTAAATGCAGCCTATTACAAGAATTTGGTTAGGGATAAAAGGCAAGAGTATATTAGATTCACTGTGAAAATTACATGCTATGTCAGTAGTTGCCTGTCATTTAATATGATCTAGCTATGTGCTTGCGGTTTTTTGATGATTTCGAGATTTTTTATTTATTTATCATGGCAGGTTGCTGAACGTGCTTTGTTTTTGTGGAACAATGATCACATAAAAATCTGATCACCCAGAACCGTTCGGTAATACTCCCTATAATCTTCCAAGCATTGGAGAGAAAACACGAGGTCATTGGAGCCAGGCAGTTCGGAGTCTTACACTTAATGTCAGGAAGACATTCTCGGATGCTGATCAGGTGCTCTTTCTCGAATGTTGGCCAGATTCCAAGAAGATGAATCCAAGGAAAAGAGATGCAGGAGAAGCAGGAACTAACCTGGAGGCATTTGGAAGATATGGCCTCCTCTACCACCGTAAGCAATGAGGCAGTATTGGTTTCAAGTTTCGTCTCTTCCGTTGCTGTTGCAACAAGCCTAACTCCAAAGGCACTGGTGGGCAGTTGAGAGAAGCGACGAAAGCAACTTGTAAGAAATCATACCACATCCACCATAGTGAAATACTGAAATGGATCCAGGGTGTAGCTCAAATGGGTTATGGGTGCACCATGGGAATCAGTAGAGCTCGCCGCAGTTTTTAACACTCGTGTCTCAATAACCAAGTGGTGGTATGTTGATATCATCATATCAAGGTTGTTTCTTTTTTTTCTTCTGTTTTCCCAATTCTGAAATCATTCATTTTTTTTTCGTCTAGCTCCTTCCTCATCCACGGCTGAGGAGTCGGTGTGTTCGAGTGAGTGTATGAAAGCGATTTGATGTAACATCATATTGTTAATATAAAGGCGGTTCGTTGGATTTGATGTCGATTATTTTTTATATTGTAATTATTCTTTGTAAGGATATATATATATATATATATATATATATATATATATATATATATATACACTCAAATTTATCAGTATTTATGTAACATAATTTAAAATTTTCATATTCGTTCGTTTTGTAATTTATGTTTAAGACTCGTTGTCTCAAATAACTGTTTTCAAAGTTTGGTTTGTGTTTTCTTATAGAACTGCAATATATCATACCAATACTTATATGGCATAACCCTCTAGGGTCAAAGTTGATTTCAAATATATAATATTTAAAAAAATAAGATAGTCGAATGATCATCATCAGTGTAATACACGAGAAAATGAGATCTAACATGTTCAAATATTCGAAAGAATTTAGATAATATTTACTGAATAGAAAGGAAAGGCACATCAGTTACCGTTACTTAAAACCCTCGTTTTACCTATGAAAGGCTGCTATCACCTTTCCACTTCGTCTAGTTTTGTTCTGAAAGATATCACAAATTCCTTCACGCTAGTTTTATCCTTCTATTTCATGCAAGGAAGTACTCATTCCCCATTATTTATGTACAGCCAGACCTTCCGACACAAGCCACTACCAAGTTAAAGCTTATCTTTTTGCATGTTTAAAACAGAGAGCCATATAAACAAGGCCAAAGGTTAAACCAAAACCCTTTCCTCTGGCAAATCTAATTGTATATTGGACACGGGGGTTTCATGAGCTGGAGTTAAGGAATTGTCATAACTAGTATCTGCAAATGAATAAAAGTACTTGATGTCACCTGCAAAACCTTGCTTGTATAAAAAGTTGAAAAAAACATGCAGTGACCTGAAGATTACGAAAGAAAACGTTTACGCTACTTGCATGAAGTCATGCTATGTGCATTATAGACGTATAAATCATTTGGATACTATTTGCATACAATAACAGTTGAAAACTTACAAGGAAACTTTTCTGGACTTCAGATTTTATTTGGATGCAGAGTGATACCTGCATATGACATAATGACAATTTACATTCACATAAAAGTCAATTTGATGTTTTTGCTCCAAGAGTTTTAGAAAGCTCCTTTATGGGTTTTTCTTTAAGACCTTCCTCCTTTTCCAGGTGCCATTTCTTGGACATGTTTTCGGCCTGAAAAAATTATAAGTTCCGTGTTAGTGCAATCACAGTTGAGACTTGCAAAATAGTCTTGTGGTTATGATTAACATACCCAGGTTCTTAGGGGTAAAAGTTTTCTCTAATCATTTCAAATTTAGGCTGAACCATGTCTTTTCCTTTTGTTCTGATATCATCACTCTGCCAAAGCAGAAACAAAAAGATAATGAGAAATAAGGAGAAAAAAATAACATTTTGTCGATTCAATGCATTTACTAATTCTATAGTCTATACACATGGGAAAAGACTAGCAACCTGAACACGACATGCCATGGAGAAGATGTACATTTAAAAGTAGGAAATAACATTAATCAAATTATAACTTGGCCGAGTTACGTTTCCATCAGAGTTAAAAATAATCCCTCTGACTGGGGGGAAATGTGCGATTATCAGAGATTTGTCTATTAAATGCACAACTGCTAATGAATAATCCACCAAAAAAAAACATTGTAGACATTGTTAACATTAACCAAGTTCCAATTGATCATCTATCAAATAGATGACAAATCTCTACTAATATGAAAAAAAGGCATTAAAAAAACAACAGGAAAACGGTGATAAAACACTCTAGAACCAATATATCCAACAATCTTGAGCAATTTTTATCTTTTCAAAGCTTGCAAGATGAACTTCTATGCCAAAAACCCATAATATTTCTTCACACTTCTATGCCAAAAACACAACACTGAAAAAGTTGTTAATCTGAGTGTAACAAGTAATGCTCACAGTGTGCAACTCCAACTTGGAGGCTGTCATCCCAAACATCAAGGCGGCTCCACCGTATACCACTGTAGTTGCAACTATAAAGCCATTCCAACTATATAAATAAACAAAAACCGAGTATTATAAGCCCTAGCTAAGTATTTTTGGTACAAAAGACAATTGAAACTAATAATCAAAATGTTCCCGAATTCAAATTAGATGGCATTAAAGCTAATCAGCACCAAATTCCAGAGTTATATATGATATCAACGAAGCTAACAGAGAGAGAACGAATGAACAAACTTCGCTTAAGTCCTTCAGCAGCAGCTTTCAACTTCTCCGATTGAGAGGCGTATATTTGTCCTTTCGCAATTCATTAGCCGTCGATGCCGTGATTGAATTCTCCGTACTCGGAACTCCCACCTGCAAATTTCTCCATCCAAATACAATAGGGAAAAGAAAAAAGAAAACAAGAATTTGTTGTAAATAGAAAGGGTCAAAGCTGACCTTTTGGGGCCAAAAGTAACCTGGGAAGAGAAACGTAAGCCCTGAGAGGGTCAAGGCATCAGGGGAAACTGGAGGCGTTGTTTGGATTAGAATGGAGTGCCCACTGGAGGTCCTTGAGAGAGACGAAGGATCGGACGGTTGCCGGAAGATCTTGGAAGGCAAAATGTTTGAGGACCTCAGGAAGCACGTCGGCTTGAACTTGTTGCTCGAACGATGGTGGATTCGATGAGGGGGTTTTGGGTTTTCTCCGCCAAACGGTTAACGGCTTGTTTGGTTTCCTGGAAAAAGAAGGCGGCTTCTTTCGCCGCTTGTCTTCCCGCGAGAAAACTCATGGTGTTTTCTTCGGATTGGGGCAATGGCAGAGTTTGGATTCAGGATATTTATTGGGGTTTTGGAATATTTTGTCTGAATTTCAACTTTCAAGGTTTTCATTTCAAAGTATTTTAAAACCGTCTTAAAAAAATTTTTATATACCTTTTATTAATCTAAAATAAATATAAGATAATATTAATTTAAAAATTCTAAATCATTCGATAAATATTATATTATTAACATACATAGTGTATTAGTGTTTGAACTCAAAGCTTTAGTAATGAATTATTATTATTATTTAAAGTTCTAAATTCAAACATTTTATATATAAGGGCATGAAGGTTTAATGTAAAATGATTGAAATTTTTAAAACTCTTATATTCACTATACTAATAAAAAGAAATATAAATTACATGTTTAGTATTTAAATTAGCAGTTTTGATTCGTTTTAGTATTTAAATTTTTAATTTTTTCAAAACTATTTAAAACGTTTAATTTTTGTTTTATTTTAGTACTCATAGTAAAAATATACACACTTAATCATTTAATATTAAATACTTATACTCCTGACATACATAATATTCAAATAAAAAACTTAATTATTAATAACTTGTATTATTTATTAAGATTCTAATTTTAAATATTATACATATAAAAATATAAACATTTAATATTAAATGATTGAAATGTCTTACATTTCACCGCCGTACTAAAAGAAACGCTGAGGTTGAAAGTTTCAATCATCGGAGATGGTAAATGTGTATCTTAATTTAGTAAGCTGTTTTAATTTAATTAATATTATATTGTTGAAATATTTGCAAGTGTAAATGTTGTCTATTTCAAGATTTTATAATAAAATAAATATTTAAATTATATTATTTTATTTAGACATTTAACATTTTTTAAAATATATTTTAAACGTTCATTAAAAAACATTTAAAACACAAATATATATTAAAATGCACGAACCAATTTACTTTAGTAGTTAAAAGAATCGTTGTTATTCCTAGAAGTCATAGGTTCGAGTACCAATAACTGCAATGGTGATTGGACTTTCATTATTAAATGATTAAAAATATTTAAAACATGTATACTTGTAATTATCTTAGTTTAATAAAAAATATAATTAAAGTGTTATTTTATAATAAAATTGTACATAAATATAGAGTTTTTTTAATTGGATACCATTATTTTTATAGTTTAAAAAAATACTTAATCCCAAAATAAGTGCCCAAAGTTAATTTTAAGTATTTAAAGCATTTTTCGTTAAAAATATGTCTAAAGTTTTCTGTGTTGCACTTTTAGGTGCTAACGTTTCCGACAATATATTTTAGGTGCCTATAGTGTAACGACCGTTAAATTCAATGTTAAGTGACATGTTTCAGACATATAAATTTTTTTAAAATACCTCAAATTTTAGAAATTAAAAAAAAACTCAAAATCCTAAAAAATACTTAATTCAATCCTTAGTATCGCCGACCACCACCAACGCTGTCAATCGACTGAATATTCAACTTTGTTCGACCGGCCAACCACCCAATGGTTTGAACACCCAATGATTGTGTAAATATAATATTTCGGGATAGGCTAAAGGGGTTTTTCATGTTGCAATTGACGATTGGTCGTTGCAATTAGAGGTTTGAGAAAGGGTTTCAATCGTTGGGTGTTCGATCAGTCTCACGCCGTTGAAGTTTTGGCCAGTTGGTAACGATCGATAGTGGCAAAGGGGTTGAAATTGGGTTTAAGGAAAAAAATTTATAATTTCAGAAAAATTAGGTTTTTATAAAATAATTTTTAAAGTGTTTTTTAAATAAAAATTTTAAAATTCTATAAAATCAACATGTGTCACTTAACGACTGAATTTAACAACCATTACGCCCATACACCTAAAATATAACGTCGAAAACGTAGGCCTCTAAAAGTGTAACGGAAAAAATATTAGGCACTATTTTAACGAAAAATACTTTAAGCACCTAAAGTTAACTTTACAAATACTTTGAGCACCTATTTTTACATTAAACATTTAAAAAACATGTGTTGAGACACATGATACCTAGAAGATTAGATGATGACAAGAAGAATATGAAATAATCAGCCAGGGTCACAGGATACCTAGAACATGTATTATTTTTCATACTCTAATTAGAGAATAACTTCAGTGACCGAAAATGCCTTATAATATACAATTTTAACCAATTTTTTTTGGATTTGCGAAAATGACCAACAAATTCGCAACACGAACTCCAATTTCGCAACACAGTTTCCAAATTCACAACTCAGTTTCTGCAATCATAACGCGAATTTCTTTCTCGCAACGCGATTT